GAGGAGGCTAAGGGGATGGGCAGAGGAAGGAGGGCTGAGGGGATGGGCAGGGGAAAGAGGGATGAGAAGGAGGAGGCGCCGGGGGAAGGAGGGATGAGGAGGCTAAGGGGATGGGCAGAGGAAGGAGGGATGAGGAGGAGGGGAAGGAGGGATTAGGGGACAGGCAGTGGATGGAGGGATGAGAAGAAGGAGGAGGGATGAGGGGACAGGCAGAGGAAGGAGGGATGAGGGGATGGGCAGAGGGAGGAGGAGGAGGAGGCGGCGGCTGAGGGGACGAGGCGGCTCTGGGCCGGGCAGGCAGGAGCCGGCTGGCTGACTGACTCCCAGGCCCCAGCCTGCCCTGCCCGTTCCCTGACCCTGTCCTGGCCCGTCCCCGTCCCCGTTCCCACCCGCCCTCTGGCCGGAGGTGGGGCTGGGCACGGCCGGTGCCAGGCTGGCGCAGGTGGCCCCAGGGGCTGGTCGTGTGCCCGGGGGCGGGGCGGGAAGCGGCCGAGCCGGCAGTGGGGCCGGGCCAGCTCCTTTGCTAATCGCAGCTGGCACCGGCCCCCGCTTCCCTCAGCCATTTTAGCTGCCAGCTGGGAATCCCTGTGCAAAATGGCTCCCGCCCGGAGGAAGGAGTGGGCCCGAGCCAGCGGGCACGGCCACGGGCCACCCCCCCGGCCTGGCCCGGCCCCTCCGACGGGCACCTGCACCTCTGGCCCGGGCCCACAGATGCTAACCCCAGCATCTGGCCTGGCCCCACAGACTCCAGACCGCACCCCCAGCTTGGCCCGACTGACGTCAACCGCGGCCTGGTCTGACTGGCACCGCCCCGCACCCCCAGCCCGGCCTGACCCTCGCTGACCCAGGCCCCCAACCCGGCCTGACCCACGCCAACCGGCACCCCCAGCTCGGCCCGACCAACACCAGCCACGGCCTGCGGCCTGGCCCAACTGACGCCCACTGCGGCTTGAGCCGACCGGCACCACCCTGCACCCCCAGCCCGGCCTGACCCCCCAGCTCCATCCACACCGGCCTGTGATCCAGCCTGACCCACACCGACCTCTGGCCCACGCCCCAGCCTCACCGATGTCAAATCCAGCTCCACTGACGCGCACCCAGCCTCCCCGACCCACGGCACCCCGCCTCCCCAACGCCGAGCCCTGCAACTGTAACCACCAACTCCCAGTCCCCTCCCAGAGCCGGGGAGAGAACCCAGGAATCCTGGCTCCCAGCCCCCCCTGCTCTAACTACTAGCCCCCGCTCTCCTCACGCCTGTCTCTCCCTCCCCAGCTCTGTGGCCGCGCCATGGCTCCGGTCCTGGAGCTCTCGGACGCCGCTCACTCCCGCTGCCTGCTGGTGGAGCTGAATGAGCAGCGGCTGCGGGGCCACTTCTGCGACGTCACCATCATCGCCGAAGACACCAAGTTCCCGGCCCACAGGAACGTGCTGGCGGCCTGCAGCCCGTACTTCAAGGCGGTGCTGTCAGAGGAGCTGGCCGGCCGCCAGCCGGCCCAGGTGCTGGAGCTGCCCGACATCCAAGCCGGGGTCTTCTCTGACATCCTCAACTTCATCTACCGGTCCCGCCTCTCGGTGCCCAGCCCGGCCGCCGCCCGGCAGATTGGAGCCGCCGGCCGCCGCCTGGGCATCTCCTGGCTGGAGAACCTGGACCCCGCCGCTCAGGCCAAGGAGATGAGCGAGCCCTGGAGCCCCGAGGCCGCCGGAGACACCTCGGCCTCCTCCCCGAGATCCTGCGCCTCCCCCGTGGACCTGACCTGCCCGTCGCGGCCGGCCGCCAGCCCCGTCTGCCTCCAGGAGCCGGCCCGGCCACCCAGCCCGCAGCGGGAGGCGGATAACGAAACCGAGACGGCAAAGATCCTCTACGCCCTAAGCACGGCGCCTGCTGAGCCGGGCGCCCCGGACTGGGAGCAGGAGCGTGGCGCTGCAGAACCGCCTGCCGCCGGGGGCGAGCCAGCGCCGTCGTCTTCCTCGCCGGCAGGCAGCGCCTTCCGCTGCGGGCTCTGCAGCCGCTCCTTCGCCACGCCGGCCGCCCTGAGCCTCCACCTGAAACTGCACCGGAGCCGGCGCTCCCTCTCCTGCCGCCACTGCGGCAAGAGCTTCATCCACGTCAAGCGGCTGCAGACGCATGAGGTACTCTGCAAGGAGGCCGGCGAGGAAGAGGAGGCGGCGGCGGTGGGCGGCTCGGCGGTGGCGGGCGGCTCGGAGGCGGCGGCCCCAGCGGCGCCCCTTCCTCCCGCCGCACCGGCGCTGCCCAAACCGGCGTCTTCCAAGAAAGGCCTGCTCTTCCGCCACCGGGCCCTGCAGCGGCTGGAGTACATCCCGGAGCAGGATCACTTCGTCAAGGTGGTGGACGGGCATGTCATCTACTTCTGCACCGTCTGCGAGCGCTCCTACATGACCCTCTCCAGCCTCAAGCGCCACTCCAACGTTCACTCCTGGCGGCGTAAGTACCCCTGCCGCTACTGCGACAAAGTCTTCGCCCTGGCTGAGTACCGGACGAAGCACGAGGTGTGGCACACCGGCGAGCGCCGCTACCAGTGCATCTTCTGCTGGGAGACATTCGTCACCTACTACAACCTGAAGACCCACCAGAAGGCCTTCCACGGAATCAACCCGGGACTCATCTCCTCCGAGAAGACGCCCAATGGGGGCTACAAGCCGCGGCTCAACGCCCTCAAGCTCTACCGCCTCTTGCCCATGCGCTCCCAGAAGCGACCCTACAAGACCTATAGCCCAGGGCTGCTGCCGGAGGGCCTGCTGCTGCCCCCGCAGCCCCTCCCCGTGGCGCTGGGCGAGGGGGACCCCGCGGCCGGCCCTGGTGGGGAGGCGGGGCCCGGCTTCGCATCTGCCAATACTTTGGAGGCGCCGGAGGCCGAGCGGTTCCTCCTGCCGGCGCCGGCCGAGCGGCACGAGACGGGGCCGCCCCCGTTCCTGGCAGAGGAGGCGCGGCGGGCGCCGGCGGACGGTGAGGCCCCGTCGGTCATCGCCTACGGCCACCCGGCCGCCTCGGTCATCGTGCACAGCACCTCGGTGGGAGGCGGGGGCGGCCAGGCATCCTCGGTCATCACCTACAACAGCACGCCCGCCGCCCCCCGCCCCACCCCGGCTGAGCCCCTCAAAAAGCAAGTGCTGAAGGAGTACATCCAAGCCCAGAAGGCGGCCGAGCAGGCGGCGGAGGAGGCAGGCGGCGGGGAGCCACCAAAACCCCGCAGCCTGCGGCCCGGCCGCACCATGACCTACATGGCCAAGCCGGCCTACGTGGGCGCCGCCTCAGAGAGCCGCAGCGCCCCGCTGTGCCAGATCACTGTGCGCATCGGCGAAGAGGCCATCGTCAAGCGGCGCATCTCCGAGACCGACCTGATGCTGGACAAGAGCCCGAGGGGCCCCAAGCGTTTCGATTTCGGGCCGGCCGAGAAAGCGGCTCCTGGCAAACGGGCCGGCAGCTCCTATGCCCACAACGAGAGCGGCGAGGAAGAGAGCGACCGGGACGCTGAAGACCAGCTCTGGCGTCCGTACTACACCTACAAGCCCAAGCGGAAGGCCTGTGGCTCCGGCGGGGCTGGCTCCGGCGTCCCCAAGGTGAAGCGGTCTTCCCGGTGGCGCCGCAAGCTGCGTTCCCTGCGCTGGATGAAGCGGGCGGAGGAGGAGGAGGAAAGGGAGGAGCCCAGCCCGGCGCTCACCCGCGCCTCACCAAGTCCCGGCAGCTCCGACGCCCCGGCGCCCGAACCGGCGCACAAGGCTGGGCGCGGCAGCGCCGATTGGAAACACGAGTGCGGTGCCTGCGGCAAGTTCTTCTCGGCGCTGAAGAAGCTGCGGAAACACGAGCGGGTGCACGGGCGGCCGGGCAAGGACGATCCGGCGCCAGCGCCGGCCCACCGGGTGGGCCGCAAGCCCTCGGTCAAATTCACCTGCGCCCACTGCGCCAAGGTCTGCAAGACCGCGGCGGCCCTGAGCCGGCACATGAAGCGGCACGAGGGGGAAAGCCGGGAGCCTGGCCCGGCCGCCCTGACCACCGTCATCGCCTATTCCAAAAAGCCGGAGGAGCCGGAGCCGGCGGCCGTCAAGGAGGAAATCACGCAGGAGATGCAGGTCTCGTCGTCCAGCGGGGAGCCGCCGGCAGCGGAGGCCAGCCAGGCCTGCACCGCCGGCCAGCCGGCCACGCCAGAGAGTCAGGGGGCAGCGCCGCCCCGGGAGGAAGAGGTGATGCCGCCGGAGACGGGCGGGCCACAGGAGGCGGCTGCCCCGCTAGCCGAAGCCACCACCAGCTGTATCGAGCTGGCCCCAGCGCCGCCCGCCCCCCAGGCCGCCCTCTCCTTGCAAGATCCCGTCATCTCGCACACCAGCCCGGCCCCGGCGCCGCACGAGGAGGAGGAGGCGGTGGGTGGCTACGCAGAGAGGTACCCGGTGCAGGAGTACCCCCTGCCCCTGCTGGCGCCTGGGGGCTGCCGGATCCGGAAGGAGGCAGAAGACAAGCCCGCGTTCCTCGCCTACCCCAGCCCTCTCCCTTTCAATGCCGTGGGCAAGGCCGGGGCTGGCGAAGGGGAGGGCAAGGTGAGCTTCTACCCCGACCCCTACCCGCTCATGTACGGGCACCAGCTGCTGGCCGCCTACCCGTACAACTTCACCAACCTGGCCGCCCTGCCTGTGGCGCTGAACATGGTCCTGCCGGACGACAAGGGTCAGCCCCTCCCTTTCCTGCCCAGCGTCTTCGGCTACTCGGTCAACCCGTGCCGGAACGAGGCCCAGGACGGGGCTGGTGCCGGGGCCCACGGGGCCGGCAGCGGGGCGGGGGGCGGGGCGGCCCTGCCCCGGGGGGTGGTCCGCGGGGATCCCCCGGCCCCCCGAGCGCCTGAAGAAGGGAAAATTTCCTGTGAGCGGCAAAGGGGGCAGGTGCCTGAGCTGGGCTAGGACTCTGGGGTGGGGGAGGGGGGTGATGCTAGAGGGGGTGCTGGTGTTGCGATGTGGGACGGGGGGGCATGGCCCAGCAGGGGAGGCACCCGGCGCCGAGGGGACGCTGGAGCCGTGTGCCCCCCCCCGAAGTGTGACATAAGAACGGGGGGGGATCCTGGAGCTAGGCTGTGAGCTGTCACTCCAGATGGATCAGTCCCCCCTCCAACTCTCCCCCCCCCCTTCAGTGACTCCTGGGGACCCCCCCTCCCCACGGTCCTCAGGACCCCTTTCCCCTCGCAGTCCCCTGCCCCTGACCCCCAGGCCTTGCAGCTGGCAGATGTGGGGTGGAGGGGGGTTGTTACCCCAAAGGAGGGGCTATAGAGAGGGACCAATATGTGGGAGATGGGGGAGCCCTATGTGCCCCCCCAAAGAGTAAGGAGGTGGTTTAGGGGTGGGGGATCCCAGCTGTGAGGGGGGGCACTACAGTGCCCCCCGACCCAGAATGCACTGCAAATCCCCCCCCCCCCACCCGGCTCCAGCAGTGTTCCAGCAGGGGGCGCTAATACTCCAGCAGGGACCTGCCCCGGGCTCCCCTCCCCACACTGCTGTCCTCAGCTTCCTGCCCTGGGTACCCCCCAATCCCCTGCCCTGTACCCCATGCACCCCCATTTCCCTGCCCCGAGCAACCCAATTCCCCTGTCCTGGTACCCCATGCACCCTCCATTCCCTTGCCCCAGGCACCCTCCTCACCCCCTGCTGTCCTCAGCTTCCTGCCCTGGGTACCCCCCAATCCCCTGCCCTGTACCCCATGCACCCCCATTTCCCTGCCCCGAGCAACCCAATTCCCCTGTCCTGGTACCCCATGCACCCTCCATTCCCTTGCCCCAGGCACCCTCCTCACCCCCTGCTGTCCTCAGCTTCCTGTCCTGGGTACCCTCCATTCCCCTGCCCTGGGCACCCCCCCATGCCCTCCCACGCCCCTCCTCCTCCCCAGCCCCCCCCCCCGCGCTCCCAGCCCTGGCGGGGCGCCAGGCTCAGCGGGTGACGCTGTGTTTTGGAGCTGTGACCGGCTGACTCACTTTTTCCTTTCGGGGCCGGGAACCCAGCTCCAGCCCTTCCAGAAACTTCCCTGGTCCCCCTGCCCCCCTGGCCTCTCCCAGCAGGGGGCCCTGTCACCCGACCCCCCACAGATCTTCCCTGGGGGAAGATCGGGGGGGTTCCCATTTGCACTAGTCATTTTCTGTTTTGGGCCACTGACCCCCCCCCCGACTGCACTAGCACCTCCCCTGATTACAGCCCCCGTCTTTCTCCATCACCCCCTTCCTTCACCTCTGGGACCCCCCCCTTGTAGGAATTGGGACCCCGGAGCTGGCTCTGAGGTGCCAGTTCCGCCCCCCCGATGGCAAGGCGGGGGGTGGTGGTATAGGAAAAAGGGGGGTATCCCCCTAAAAAGAGACCCCTAATAAATGACTGTGGTTCAAAGGACTCCAAAAGTGGGGGGGGCTCTGCGGTGAGCCCCCCGGCCCACCCAGCCCCCCACGATCCCTCCCCACACCGGCCCTCCTAAAATCCACTCCTCTGCCCCCCCCAAGCTGCTTCCCTGCCCGTGTCCCTAAAATCCCCCTGTCCGCTTCCCCTGCCTGTGTGCCCCAAATCCTGCCCCTCTACTATCCAGCTGCACTGTCACTCCAATCCATCTGGCCCCCCCATGTACCCTCTGCCCCCTGAAACCAGCACATTTTAAACCACCAATCTCTGGGTAGCGGGTTGCATTACAGATCTTTGGGGGGACCTGTCACCCCTTACTCTGCAGATCTTGCCCCTCCAATTGCCAGCTCCCCATCCTCCCCTTTTGGGGGGACCCCATGCACCCCCCATTCCCCTGTGCTGGTTTCCCCATGCACCTCCATGGGGGGACATGGGGAGGGGGGTCTGCACCCCTTTGACCCTTGACATCTGGGTCATGAAGGACTTGTGCTGTGCAGGGGGGTGGGTTGTGCCGCTCCCAGAATCCTTTGTTGCCCCAGGAGGAGAGCGGGTCAGATTTGGGGGAGTAAAGGGGTGTGTGGATTTCCCTGGGGGATTGAGGGGGTGGGAATCTGGGGTTCGGCCCATTTATACACCCCGGTAGCTGGGAGGGGGATGATCTCCCTGGCTCAACCTGTGGGGAGGGGCTAAGGAGGAAATGGGGACAGCCCCCCCGCAACCTTGCCCCCAAACCAACCCCTAAACTCCCTCGCCCCCAAACTCGCCCATGACCCCTATGGGGCTGGGGAGGGGAGCAGAGAATCCCCCCCCCCAATTCCAGGGATGCGGGGTCTCTATCACTTACCCCCCGCCGCCCTAGCTTTCCAGCCAGCAGGGGGCACTGCTGGGCATGGAGCTTTGATCTCCCTGAGGGCCTTCCCAGGCCGGCTGATACCCCCCACAGTAGTGGGCATGCTGTGGGGCTGCAGGGAAATGCACCCTGTTCTGCTGCAGTGCGGCAATGCACCCTGCTCTGCTGCAGTGCGGCAATGCACCCTGCTCTGCTGCAGTGCGGCAATGCTCCCCGCTCTGCTGCG